TGTTGTGAGAAGGTTATAACATGATACACTGCCTGGGTGACGTGTTGTGAGAAAGTTATAACATGATACACTGCCTGGGTGACGTTGTGAGGTGTAAAATATGATACACTGCCTGAGTGACGTGTTGTGAGAAGGTTATAACATGATACACTGCCTGGGTGACGGTTGTGAGAAGGTTAAGTAACATGATACACTGCCTGGGTGACGTGGTTAAAATGATACTGCGGACGTTGTGAGAAGGTTAAGAACATGATACACTGCCTGGGTGACGCCAGAGAAGGTTATAACATGATACACTGCCTGTGACGTGTTGTGAGAAGGTTGGTAACATGATACACTGCCTGGGTGACGTGTTGTGAGAAGGTTATAACATGATACCCGCCTGGGTGACGTGTTGTGAGAAGGTTATAATGATACACTGCCTGGGTGACGTGTTGTGAGAAGGTTAGCAACATGATACCCTGCCTGGGTGACGGCTTGAGAAGGTTATAAATATGATACACTGCCTGGGTGACGTGCGAAGGTTATAACATGATCTGCGGACGTGTTGTGAGAAGGTTAAGTAACATGATACCCTGCCTGGGTGACGGTTGTGAGAAGGTTATAAATATGATACACTGCCTGGGTGACGTGCCGAGAAGGTTATAACATGATACCCTGCCTGGGTGACGTGTTGTGAGAAGGTTATAACATGATACCTGCCTGGGTGACGTGTTGTGAGAATGTTAAATATGTACCTGCTGGGTGACGTGTTGGAGAAGGTTATAACATGATACACTGCCTGGGTGACGGGTTGTGAGAAGGTTATAACATGACACTGCCTGGGTGACGTTGTGAGAAGGTTAAGTAACATGATACACTGCCTGGGTGACGTGTTGTGAGAAGGTTAAGTAACATGATACACTGCCTGGGTCGTGTTGTGAGAAGGTTATAACATGATACACCTGCCTGGGTGACGTGTTGTGAGAAGGTTATAACATGATACCCTGCCTGGGTGACGTGTTGTGAGAAGGTTAAGTAACATGATACACTGCCTGGGTGACGTGTTGTGAGAAGGTTAAAAATGATACCTGCCTGCGACGTGTTGTGAGAATTAAAATGATGCCTGGGTGACGTTGTGAGAAGGTTAAGTAACATGATACACTGCCTGGGTGACGGTTGTGAGAAGGTTATAAAATGATACACTGCCTGGGTGACGTGTTGTGAGAAGGTTAAGTAACATGATACACTGCCTGGGTGACGTGTTGTGAGAAGGTTATAACATGATACACTGCCTGGGTGACGTGTTGTGAGAAGGTTAAGTAACATGATACACTGCCTGGGTGACGTTGTGAGAAGGTTAGTAACAGAACGCCTGGCGGTTGAGGTTAACATACACTGCCTGGTGACGTTGTGAGAAGGTTATAAATGTACACTGCCTGTGACGTTGTGAGAAGGTTATAACATGATACACTGCCTGGGACGTTGTGAGAAGGTATAACATGATACACTGCCTGGGTGACGTTGTGAGAAGGTTAAGTAACATGATACACTGCCTGGGTGACGTGTTGTGAGAAGGCTGTTAAGTAACATGATACACTGCCTGGGTGACGTGTTGTGAGAAGGTTAAGTAACATGATACACTGCCTGGGTGACGTGTTGTGAGAAGGTTAAGTAACATGATACACCGCCTGGGTGACGTGTTGTGAGAAGTTATAACATGATACACTGCCTGGGTGACGTGTTGTGAGAAGGTTAAGTAACATGATACACTGCCTGGGTGACGTAAGGAGAAGGTTAAGTAACATGATACTGCCTGTGACGTGTTGTGAGAAGGTTATAACATGATACACTGCCTGGGTGA